GACGGCTCACTAGCTGTTCTTAGTCGTCTTGCTGAAGATGCTCCAAACATGCTCGCAGAAGATCAATCACAGTCTCTAGATACTCTTCTCCCAAAGATTATTCTGCTCTGTCGTCACCAAACACAAAGTGTTCGAGCACGAGCCCTGCAGATCCTAAATCACTTAATTCTCGTCATGCCACCGGCCCTGCAAGCGAACATAGAGGTACTGTGTAATACCGTATTCAGTGTAGCGGAGGACTCGTCTCCAGAAGTCCGAAAACGAGTCTGCACTGCCATTTGTCTACTGCTTGATGTCAGTCCACACGCGCTTGCCCCACACATCAAAAATGTCATTGAGTACATGCTGCAGTCATCGATGCACCCCAACGAAGAGGTCGCACGGGAGGCATCAGAGTTTTGGAGTTCATTCTCGGCAAGCAGAGGAGCAGTGGACACATTACGTCCGTACCTGCCCAGGTTGGTACCTATTCTTTTGAACAACATGGTTTACTCGTCGTTCGAAAAGGAAACGATAGATGCCGCGGCTGGTCCTGACGACCTGGTTCCCGATAGGCCCGAGGACATGCGGCCTCGTTTTCATCAGCCGAAATTCCGCGACACTAACGGTAACGCAGGTGCAATGGAGGGTGAGGTGGATCATGCCTTGAAAGGAAGTTCTCCCGAAGCAATGTATAATCCGCGCACCAACGAGAATATCATGAATGGGAGCAGCCGGGTGCCTATGGGTGCTGTAGAGGGGGTGAAGGGAGCCCAAGATGGCTTTGGTAACGATTCTCATGATGGGGGAAATGATGATGATGACGATGATGACGGAGAGGGTGGATATGAAGATCGTGACGCTGATGGCACAGAATGGAATCTAAGAAGGGGTTCAGCAGCCGCCCTGGACAGCTTGTCCACTCTTTTTGCGGACGAACTCTTAGATGCGCTCCAGCCGGTATTGCAAGACAAGCTAACTGATGGAGAGAACTGGGAACAGAGGGAGTGTGGGGTCCTGGCGCTGGGTGCAATTGCAGAGGGTTGCTACGGCGGAATGTCACATCATATGCGCAATATTTTCCCTTTTCTGATGCGTCTAGCATCAGATTCACATTACATGGTACGGTGTATAAGTTGTTGGACGCTCTCTAGATACGCCAAATGGATAATCAGCGAGCACGATGACGCGTCGTATCAACAGCTGCTGAAATTACTGCTAGACCGTATGCTTGACCGAAATAAGGTTGTTCAGAAAGCTTCTTGCTCTGCGTTAGCCACACTCGAAGAGGAAACAGGCCCTCTGTTGACGTCTTACTTGACGCCAATACTCCGTACTTTGAAAGTCGCATTTGAAAGATATCAACAGAGTAATCGCATTGCGCTTTATGATGTTGTATGTGGTCTCGCGGATGCTGTAGGCAGCGAACTTGCCATTCCTGATTACCTGAATAAGCTAATGCCTTTACTAATTTCGCAGTGGAACTCAGTTGGCGACACACATCTTTCCATGCTCCCGATTCTAGAGTGCCTGGGAGTCGTCTTTCGCTCGATTGGCGTTCGCTCACAACAATTTGCTGCAAACATTTTTTCGCGTTGTGCTAATATTATGGATATAGTATATTCAAGAGAATCGCACGGAGAACGGGATGATGCGCATGTAGAGTTTCTAATAAGCTCTCTCGATCTCATGTGCAGCCTCGCTGAAGCGCTTGGTGCCAGTGTGGACCCATTCGTTGCGAAAAGCGGAAACGGAGCGAAACCACTTCTGCCGTTACTTTTCGTGGCAATGAGAGACAACCGAGCAGAAGTTCGACAGAGTGCATTTGCGCTTTTAGGCGAGTTGGCGCGCGCGAGGATCCCGTCCTTAATTCCTGCGTTGTCTGAATATGTTAAGTTTTCAGTGGATGCCTTGGATCCTGAATATATGTCGGTATCTAACAACGCTACATGGGCCCTCGGTGAGTTAATCATGATGGCTGGTTTCCTTCCTCCGAACGTACCAATCGATCGAGAAACAATTCAAAGGGTGTTGTTGGAGAGAGCGGTGGATCCCTTGATTCTTGTGGTCAACTCAACACAACTGAACAAGACTCTACTAGAAAATTCCGCTATAACGCTTGGGCGACTGGGGCTTGTCATGCCAGATGCGATGTCTGTTCGTTTGGGAGTATTTGCGAAGGCTGTCTTCTCTCATTTGCGAAATATTCGGGATGACGTGGATAAGGAGCAGGCGTTTCACGGAATGAACAGTATGGTTAGAGTGAATCCGGGGGCCGTCCTTGAGTGTTTCGTGTACTATGTTGACGCGATAGCGAGTTGGTACCAATGCAAACCAGACCTTGAAATGGAATTTGCAACCATTCTTGGAGGGTTCAAGACATCTCTCGGGGATCGGTGGGCAGGATTGTGTAAGACATTGCCACCAACCCTCCAAAAACTACTGAAGGAACGCTTCAGGCTATAGCACGGCTGGATGCCGTGATTTGATGTACGGTAGTCAAAAGTACGTGCATGTGTAGAGGCAGAGCCTCAAAGGGTGTGAGTTTGGCAATTTCCACGCCGCCTAAGTAACTAGCTCTGTTCTTGACGTGGTAGTTTTGAGTAATTTTCGGTGGGAGAAGAAGCTTGCGACGAATGCCTCGGCCCGGTACAATATTCGATATGTAGACGATGTACAGTAGAAGTTGGGAATGATTCCCAGTAAAACCATTGCACAAAGCATTTACCTCTGAAAACTACATCACCGCACTGGGCATCAGATCGACGACCCTCCGCCATCTGTCGAGCTCTTGTCCCACCATGATTCTGTCGAGAGGGTCAGAGGGCCTGGCCTCAGAGCTTCAGAGAAAAGCTGGAAACCCAGACTGCAGAACGATAACAGAATCAGAACGTCAGGACAACGCAGGGTCGTCCCTCGGCCGGGCATTCCAGATTGCTCGGCTTGCGCACACCCTACCTTCGCGCTGCAATGCTACTTCCCGTTAGAAAGAAGACATAAGTTATGTTCTGTAGCTAGCGTATTGTTGCTACAGAACACAAATCCGCTCTCACTTGAAGACGAACTGCTTGTCCTTCACCCGATGCTACAAGGGTGCACCGTTCATTTGTTCAGCGCATCCTGATTCACACATGTGCTGGTCTTTACTAGGACTTCTCAGAGTTACTCTCAGGCAAGGACGGGCGCAGAAGAAGATATACCGCTGGTCCTAAAACCGGTATCAACAAGAAGCATAACGCGGTAAGTATGGAATCGATGTTTCGACCTTCCCTAAACCAGCCCCGCCGCGACATGTCCTCCGTCAGTGGACCACCTATTACAGTGTTCAAAATGACAAAATCAATGCATGTTGAAAATATGCCGCGGTCCATTGAGAAATCCCGGAAGAGGTCTACCACGGTGGCGTACAAGAGAACATCATGATACTTTAGTGTTCCAGGAGTAAAGAAACCGAGTGCAAACGCATATGCCCAAAGTGCGTACCCAACGGTAGCTAGCGCCAAAGCCTTGCTTTCCAGAGCACGGCTAAGGATCCCACGATCATACACTTCTTCCCTCGCGATCTTCGGCACGTATTCCCGTCCAAAGAGATATGGTCCAAAAGACCAAAATCCTAGAAACAAACCAGCAATCGAGAATAGATCAGTCCGGAGCTTTTTTTGTCGGGAAGCCCCAGCATTTAGAAGGGCCGCCAATGTAACGCTAGTGGCGCCAAAGAGGTTGAAGATGGCGAAGAAGACATCGTTTACGTCCTCCAGCTTCCCAGAGATAATCATACCGAGTTGGCCGGGATCGCTCAGTGTACCGGGACCGAGGAAGAGAACGGACGAAGCGAACCCAATGTACAGAGCACCTATTCCATATCTGCTCAATGCAGGACCAGACCCTTTGTCATCATGGGTTTGTGCACTCCCTTCAGTTCCGTTCGCGCTTTTGTTGCTACTGCCCTGGAAGTCCATTCTCACCTGTTTGGATCTGTGCCGTGCTCTACATATGAGTGGTCTCCCAAGTGGGATTAGTTGCTTCTGAAGAAAGAATGAGCGCTCGGTACTACTGCCTTGCTTCCGTGTGAGATGACTCGATGAGATACAAGTAATGAAAGCCATTTTCACCGCCCTCATAATAAAGAGACGCTCCGTCGGGAACTCACAATTTTGAAAGTTCGAGACTGAGCAATAGCTTCCTCGCAGTATTTCGCGCACGGATTCAGAACGAAGAAGCGCGGCAGGCAACCCGTACCGCAGGTCAAGCGATTGATCGGTTTAACAAAGTGTCTGCTTGGACTGAGGCTGCGCGACTTTCCAGCGGGGAGATCTCGACCCCACAACATTGCTGCTAAAAAATTCAACCAGGCAATTTCTGTTACCCATTGAAGGGATCTCTGAAGGAGTACATTCCGTGAGCACATTGACATCTCACGATAGTGCAAAGACGAAGAAATACCTCTTTCCCCTACAACATCAGACGGGATTCGCCAGGGATTGTTGTCGGCTAGACTGTATCAATGTACTAAATGGCTAGGCATGACGTCTTTTTGGAGCTCGGCCGTCTGGAATAGCGCGGAGCCACTTCCTGAAAGAATATCAAGTTTCCTCCCCTTGACTGATTAGATACCGATGGGAGATCCTTCAGACTGGGACCGAAAATAGTGAGACGTCATGTTTTTATTTGCGATATGGATTCTAGTAAATTCGGAAAACAACATGAACTTTGAGCGAAGCATCCATACCCCGGGGGATATATGCGCATCGTTGGAAACTCTGAGAGACTAGTTCAGAGTAGAAAGTTAATGGAGAGAAGAGAAATACGACGCTCAACAGTTCTCCTTGTACACCAACTTCCTTATGAACACGAAATTGGCATGCCGCATATCCTTCACGATAGCGTACCCGCTATAAAAGAACAAGTATCACTGTTCTATCATTTTGCCGCAGCATCCTTACTTCGGCATCGGATTCGCAGCTTGCTTTTGTGAAGGAAAAGGGGCAGCTGCATATAGTTCACAAGTGGTATAAGAGAGTTTGCTTAGCTGACAATTTCGCTCTTAATCTCATAATGCCAAGTTTTGTCCTTGAATGAGGATATAACTCAACACCTATTTGAACTGCTGTATGTTTGGAACTTGACATTCTGTTTTTGCACACCCCAAATCTGCAGAGAAGAAAGAAGACAAGTACAGTAAACCTGTTAGACACAAACAGAACACGACGCCGAGTGGATGAAAAAAGCAGCCATGCACCGATTTGAACCTACAATTACAGTTTTGTCGTCGGAACCAGATGCGATGAGGTTCCCGTCTGCTTCGCTACAGGCAACAGTGTTGACAGTGCCCTGGTGCCCTTCCAATTTAGCTATCAGCTCCCCGCTCTTTCTCTCCCAGATGTAAACCATGTGGTCCTCGGATCCGCAGAGTACCAACATTTGTTCATGTCCTCCAAAACATCCTCGTATAACAAATTTCGTTTGTTTGAAACCCTTGAACTTTTGTCGAATTTCCATGTCACGCATGCTCCAGATATGTATTTCGGGTTCTTGCATCTTTGGATCCTCGCTAGAGTTCGTGTTCACGAGTAGTGACTCAGAGTCACTTGACAAAAAGATTGAGGTTATACTAACTTTCTCTTTCATGGAAGCTATTTGAGTTCTTGCCGTTGTATCGAAGATTTGGATGCCGTTGTCAGAACATGTGGCGATTAGAAGTTTTCCATCTTTGGATATTGAAACGTCATTCACGCGTGTCGTGGCCGCATAGGAAGCGATGCATTCTCCTGAATCCACGCTCCATTCATAAATAGTTGAGTCATGGGCCCCTGACACAAAAGATCGACCATGAGGCATCCACGCGCAAGCTGTTATTTGCCCGGTATGCCGGTCAAAAACACGAATACACCTACCAGACTTGACGTCCCACAAGCGCAGCGTATGGTCCTCCCCACAACTTAGAAGATATTTGTCAGTTGGAGACCAACTTAAAAAACAGATTGTTCGTGAATGACCTTCAAGCTTGTGTAACATAGCGTTGCTGGTCTCACACTCTCCTGCAAGCAACGCCCGACTCTTCCAAATGATTGCAGACCCATCTTTCGATGCTGATGAAAGATATTCGCCGTCATGAGAAAACTGGACGAACCACACCTCATCAGAATGGCCCTCCAATTTATGCAGAATCTTTCGAGGCAAAAGGTCCTCGCAGTGAACCATATCCTCCAAGAGGCTTGCTTCTCGTTGCTTTGTATAAGGAAACATTGCGATTTGCTTTTGATACAAAATTGCCTGACAAAGCATATTCTCAAGGCGGTTCTCTTGCAGTAACTCGCTGGCTGGAACATAGCTCTGCAGCTTTTGTAAAACTAATGCCCTAGATTCCGAACCTGCACCCGGCCACCGTGCATGCTTCCTGACTTCGTCGGGTGTGGTGCACATACAGAGTAATGGAAGCTTGTGAAGCAACTTGGGATCTCGACTCAAGCGGGTGAGGTCGTTTCTGAGGCATTCTAGTGCCTGAGCTGTTTGCCCAGCTTCCAGAAGTTCAAGAAACTTTTGTTCGTAGAGCACGAACCTGGCAGCTCTTGCATCGCTCTCTGATTTGAAAACTGTCACTTCGCTGAGAACGTGCTCGAGCTGATCCCATCTTCCCAAAAGAACACAGTCTCGTAGTCTCCTCATCTGCAATGACATGGCTTCTACGCTGGCTTCTTTTTCAAGGGTTCTAGCAGAATCAGAATATCCTAAGCTATCAATGGCTTGGACAATGATTCTCACGAGCTGATTTCGATCCAGACCACGCTCAGTGCAGTCATGATCATTTAGGGAGTCAGAAGAGTTGGCATCATCCATGACGTTTCCATTCTTGTCGCCGTTTGGGTGCATACCATTGCCCGTCGTGTTGACATCGTTTCCATTCATTGCACTGGACTGCGACATATTTGGGCAATTCTGTCATGCAAGGAGGGTGGAAGCGAGGAATACAACCTCTCTGCGCGCTCGGACCTGCCACCAGAGATGCAGCCGTCCTGGTACAGACGGCAGAGTAGATGCCAAGGCCAAGACGCGAGTGTGCGACAAAGTGACTTGCAAGATGCAGACTCCACGTTTTGCTTTGTTGAGTGCGTAGAGTAGAGATACTGTACCATCCTTGGTGGTATTGCATCCGCACAGCGGATAAAAACCGGGGGGCTCTTAAAATGGCACTGATAGCGCATCTGCCTAAATTTTTCGTTGATTTAACATCATGCAATTGCAGGCTCAAAGCACCAGAATGCGCGAACTTGTACCTCACTATCGGAGACAGGAGCCGACCGTCCTCTGCACTTTTCCCGAAGAGAAGCAAATCAACAGGATTTACATATTTTGCAGAACGTTCGATTCGGTTTCATCACATTACGAGGATACACAGACCTCAGCGCTGCTATCAAGTACTCACGCATTCGGTAGAGATTTGAGTTCGCTTCTTGTTGTTAAAGTCAACATACTAGCACGACAAAGTGCTTATCTGAGCAACATAATCAATAACAACTACAAGCCACTGTTTTCCTGGGGGCGACAGAGGCTCATTTCGAAATTGATTCTGCCACTGCATGCAAGCAAGTTTATTTTCGCTCTCAGATTCTTACACATTGCAGGGCGCCTCCATTTGCACCCTCTGTCTTCCATTCGCACCTACTCTTAAGAGTTGGTTTCAAATCCACAACTGTTTGACTAGAAGTATCCAACTGAAAACATACGCTGCCATGTCAGCTCAACAATCACAGCTTCCAGCAGAGGACCTCCTCAGTTTCTTTCGATTCGTAGGCAAACTCAAGACCATTAAGAGAACAGGATGGGTCAAACGGGGAGTGCACGATCCAGAGAGCGTTAGCGATCATATGTATCGTATGGCACTGATGGCTATGGCCGTTGGTGGCAATGATTCCGCTCGACGAGACCGACTCATCAAGATGGCACTAGTCCATGATCTCGCCGAATCTGAAGTCGGGGATATTGCTCCGGGGGATGGCGTCTCCAAAGAGGAAAAGTTTAGCCGAGAAGAGGCTGCAATGCATCATCTCCGGGATGATGCCCTTTCACAATCAACTTTCGGAAAGGAACTGTACGACCTTTGGCTTGAGTACGATCAAGGGAAAACCGAAGACGCACGCCTCGTCAAAGAACTTGATAAGATGGAAATGATTGTCCAGGCAGATGAGTATGAAACTGTTCAGGGGAAAGATCTGGAAGAATTTTTTGAATCCACCCGAGGCGTCTTCCACTCAAACGTGATGCAAGACATTGATAGAGCCCTTCGTTCGCAACGTATCCGCAGAAAACGTACTGCGTCGCCGGAGGATAGCGGGTTAAATTGAAGAAAACGTTTCAAATTATTCGAACTTCGCACTCCGTTTATACAAACGACAACTAAGCGACCACGGGATTGCTGTGTTCGTCTCAGTTGTCCATGCCCTTGATCTTGTTTGCCATCGCCAGTATTCTATGGTTTAAACGAAGCGTAGCGTCGTTAAAGTCAACTAGAACCCGATCAAGTCGCTGCTCTTCGCTTTCAATTTGGGGCTCGGCTTCGCACATAACTTTTTGCTGTAAAATGTCGAGCTTCTGCAAGTGCTCACGATTGATAGGTAGATCGTTACCAGGAATAGTCATACTCCTTTCCAATGTGTCCATTTCCACAAGCGCTTTCACGACACGATCGACTATGGCTTCAGCGTGTTCAACGCGCGCCTGACGGGCAGCAGAAAGCCCTCGTAGTCCGGGTGCGGCGTAAGATATCATATCAAGGGCGTGGCGGGCTGCTACAATTTCATCAGGAATGTGTTTCCGTATGCTGTTCAAAGCATGTTGCATCTGAACGTGAAGGCAGGAACTCTGCTGAGGGAGACCTGATCCAACGACGGCGTCAATTCTTGCAATGCGCTCCCGGAGCACCTGCATGTCGCTTTGCATGTCTTGTCCAATTTTCAGAGTAGCTATGATTCTTGCTCAGGTGGGGGTCAGCTGAGGTCTTCGAAATAATTGGGAGGCGCCAAGGTATCGTGCCCGTGAGTGGAGACCAAGCGACCGTTCCCAGAAACGAGTGTTATACAACAATACAGTAGTACTGTAGCTTGAGTTGTACCATACCAGGGTACAGAGTAAAGTCTCAATATGGTGAACCGAAATGTGGCGCTTCCGAGCAACCTACTGAGTTCGCCTTACCGGGCCAGTTCACAGTGGCGGAACTGCTCATGTACACGTGTAGCCGTTGTACAGGTACAGCAAGGCACATAACGTCACTTCCTCTGACACTGTGTATCGACGGGCGACGTCGACGGGCGCAATCGGACATCCAGAGCTCTTCCCGTTGTGATTCAGCCTCCCTTTCTTTTCATTCAGCCGCGTACGGAGACTTCAACGTATGAATCTGAAGCAAGGACGTATTGATAGCTTCTGTATTCGTTGATGGTTCGTTTCTAGTGCGCATTTCGGCCTCGATAAAGTGAACTCTGGGTTTTTCATATTTTTTATGTTCATGGTATCGCGTAGTTCGTTCTATAGAGTCTGGTTCACCTTAGAAATACAAAAACGTCGATTCTGGGCCAAAAAAGCGGGGTGGCGCCTCCCTCATAGTCCTTCGGTTCACGGTACCGAGACAGTTCATCATATCCGGTACGCAGCTTATCGAGACTTTACTCTGTACCCTTGGTACCGTACAATATCATAGTTCATTGTGCCACGACAGCATCTATCACAGAGAACAGGCTCTTTTGCTTTGCGCACAGTAAAGTAAAGTAAACTTTACTTTACCTTTGGTACGTACTGTACATGTGTACTGTAACGCATTGCACAGTACTGTTACGGATAAACCCAGGTGCCAGGTGGCAAGGTGGACACGCGTAAGGCGAATCAAAGCGGACACGGCCGGAACCGAGGCGTACGAACCGAAAGGCAGTAGAAGTGGCGGGATCATGCACGTGGGGAACTGTCGGCAATAGACAGACGGAGGATGAAGGGAAACCCGTGGCTGCGAGGGAACTTGGACCGGGACAAGAAGACGGGGGAGGCTACCGGCCGTGTGGGTGAAAGGAAAGGAGCAGGAGGAGGGCGCCAGGACTGGAGCAGAGGGAAGCTGAAGGGAAAGGGGGGCGCCAGGAGAGGTTGGGGGAAGAGAGGACGGCCCCCGGGCATAGAGTACTTAAGAGCCGTCCCTGGAGCAGATAGGGAGGGGGACGGCAGCAGACTTGTGAAGGATAAAGACGAAGACGAGTGGATTCTCGTTGGCGCAGGTCGCTCGGTATTTCGCGGAGGAATTGCCGCAACAGTACAGTAACGCAATGTACAGTAACGCCCCGCCCGGATGATTGACAAGAATTTAATATATAATTACGTATATATTTTGTTGACGAGGGATGAAACTGAGTGCGTAAAAACTGCAATCCCTCCTCCCCCGGCAACGCATTCTTCTCACCTACTCCATCGAAAGCATTGATGACCTTGTCGGTCCAAGCCTCTGCACCTCCTGCGTTAGAAGATGCACATCTTGAACTGGGCATGACATGGAGAAGTTAGAGAACAAAGAGTTATCTACCAACGGCTTGAAGAGTGTCGTGACATCCTAGCTAAGGGGCAAGCATCATTTCTTCCGAACTGAAACACCGCGTCAGCCAATGCTGTGAATGCATCGTTCGCGTCCATTCTGACACACACATCCCAGAGCCACGCTTCAGATAGGGGGATAGCCGGCATCTCATCTGTAAAAGAAACAAAGGGAGTAGCGCTCTTGTAGCGCCGGGACATCTAGAAAGGTTATTCGGTTGCCAATCGCAAAATGGTGCCTGAGCGTCATGTCATGGTCATTCTTTGCGCATTTTGCTGCTTTATCAATTATGCAGACCGAGTCAACTTGTCAGTCGCAATCATTGCAATTGGAGAGGACTATGACTATTCGCTCGACCAGCAGGGACTCATCATGAGTTCCTTCTTCTTGGGTTATCTGCCAATGCAAGTGGGAGGTGCTATGCTCTGCAGAAGGTTTGGTGGAAAGAAAGTACTCTCATATGGTGCGTTCCTTTGGAGCATGTTCACATTTTGTACCCCTTTTGCATGTGCAATAGGATTTTATCCTTTGTTAGTATGCCGAGTTTTAATGGGGCTTTCGGAAGGTGTTGCATTCCCATCCGTATATCATTTTCTCTCCGCGTGGGTCCCTGTCAATGAGCGTGGTCGTTCTGTATCAATATTCTTAACTGGGGTCCATGCTGGGACCACGTTTGCTCTTGTTCTGTCGCCAATCATTATTCGGGTATGGTCATGGCAGGTTATATTCTACATTTTTGGAGCTGCCGGGCTAGTATGGATCGCGGCATGGAATATACTTGCGCATGATCGTGACAGCGATGTCAAGGTGGGATCAGACATAGAGGCCTCTGCTTATTCGAAGTTGCCCCAGAGTTCCACTCATGGACTAGTTGACGCCAATTCTTCTGGCGAACGAACTGCGAGTGCTGTGAAACCTGAGGGGGTCGAGAAGCAACTAGCCCACCCGATAATGAGCAATGGGGTTTCGGTCGTAAGTAGGCAACCAAAAACTTGCGCGCCCAGCGGCCTGTTGCTTCAAGTTTTTTCATTGTCTGAGATATCCTGCATCCGTTTCATTTTGACGAGCCCGGAATGCATGGCTGTTTGCATCACTCAAGCCCTATTTGGGTTTATTCATTACACTATCCTCAGTTGGCTGCCGTCATATTTCAAGCACGTATTTCATACAGAGACAGGTTCTCTTTCGTTTACGTTTCTACCGTACATAAGCATGGCGATTGCAGCAAACATTGGAGGCTACGCGGGAGACCGACTTCAGGGGAGGGGGATGTCGTTGACGAATGCTCGAAAAGTTGTGACGTTTGTGGCCAACGTTGGAGCGGCGATTCTATTGATTGCCTTTAGTGTTGCAAGCACGGTACCGACAGCATTGTTGTTGATTTCGATGAGCATGGCCTTTATGAGTTTAAACTCGGGAGGGTTCGAGAGCTGTTATTTGGACATGTCCTCACCGAGTCTGACTGGAACATTTAAAGCAGTGGCGAACACGATGGCTTCTTTTGCGGGGCTCGTGGCTATCCCATTTTCCACGCTTGTATTGCGATGGGCTGATGGGTCGTGGAGACTCATGTTTCGTTCCCTGGTTGTATGGTACGGGATTTCAACAGTAGTGTTTTGTAAGTATGCTTCTAGTGAAAAGGTGTTAGTGGAAGAAGACACTCGGTAAAAACGTTGTTTAAGAGATGTGCAGAAGAATCAATATCAAAGGAATAGTGGTAATGGGGAAGAGCGGTTGGGGCAAGAGAATGTTGAACCGAGAAAGCTGTAGTGTGGTTTATTCGTATGAACAACATGTAACTCGCGATGAGCGAATGGCGAAGCTAACTGCCGAAGCCGTAAAGCGTACGGCCCTGGCGCTTGAGGGCGTAGACGACATCCATCGAGACGACTGTCTTGCGACGAGCGTGCTCTGTGTAGGTGACAGCGTCGCGGATGACGGACTCGAGGAAGACCTTGAGAACGTTGCGGGTCTCCTCGTAGATGAGGCCTGAGATACGCTTGACACCGCCACGACGGGCGAGACGACGGATGGCGGGCTTGGTGATCCCTTGGATATTATCGCGAAGGACTTTGCGATGACGCTTGGCTCCGCCCTTTCCAAGACCTGGGAGGGGGAAGTGGAGTGGGAAGGAAGAAAGAAAATTGTACGATTGAAAATTATGGATGTGGGTTAGTGATATGGGTGATTAGATGGGAAAGGGGGAATCTGGGGTCGCATAGGGGGGAATAGGGAATTGGTGGAAATACCTTTTCCTCCTTTACCGCGGCCGGACATGGTAGTACAGTAGAGAAAGACGAGTGCGGCGAAGATGTAGCGAGAAAAATGAGGGGAAAAAGACGACGCGAAGTGTAGGAAACGGAGGGGGGGTTAGGGGGGAGGGCGGGGGAAAATTGAAAGTCGTTAAGGGTGAGGGGACGCTTCGGGAGTTGGGGAAAGAAAGGGATGGTGCAGGGGGGAGAAGTACAACATTTTATTAGAATAAGTGGAGCGAGGGGGAGTTGTGGGTGATTTGGGAGGAGCGGGAGTGTACAGCGCGCATGGGAGGCGCGGAGGGTTGGAGCGTAGGGGCGGGGTGGGGCGCGTGAGTGCGGGTACAGTACTGCAGATTCGAGATTCGGCAACAAAAACTACTGGTCGAGGCCGGGGACGGCGTGGCGGAAGCGAGGCAGACCGAGCCGACCAGGCGGATACCGCGCGCCCACGCATAGCGACTGAAAGCAAAGGTGCAACATGAATCAAAATTCCCTTTTGCCGGCTTGTAGCGCGGCCTTCCTCGGAACCGGCTCTCTCTCCGTCCCTGCCTCGCCTCGCTGGCGCCCACTCGCACCCCGGTGAAGCCCTCTCGTCATCTCCTTCCCCTGCACTCTGTCCCCACTGACACCCGCCCAACTTCCACCCCCTTATCCCTTCACCCCCCCCCCCCCAGATTGCTCTCGAAAACCACCCCTTTGCCTATCCAGCTGTCGCAAGACATCCCTGCTCCGATCCAACTAGCCTTCAAATATGCACACCAATTGGCCTTTCTCTATTGGTTCGCTCCACGCTTCAAAAAAATCGGCACAAAAATTCACCTTATTCCGTGCTATTGACTTTTTGGCGGGAAACAACAACTCGTAACGTCGAGTTCTCACCCCCCCTCTCCCTCTCGTACTGCCCCTAAGCCCAACCTTTCCTTGTGGACGGACCCTTTTTGTCCTCTAACCATTCAACAAACATTTGCTTCCAAAGCCCCCTTCATCGCATCATGCCCACGGCCCCAACATCTTCGCCAGCTCTCAACAGCAAGCCTGCGCCCGTCCCGATAGCCGGCGATTTGTCCGGCAAGCTTGGATGGTATTACGCCCGCATATTTCCTGCTTCCCAATTTACCCGATGGCTTCGCTATGGCAACGACGATACGCTCTCGCGCAGGGAAATATCCTTCACCCTCCCTGGTGACATCTATCTCCGTTGGAAGTCCTTTCCCACTCCTAGCAAGCTTCTAGACTCCCTCAAGTCCCTCACACCAATCAAGATAGATATCGGCGCCATCTACAATTTCCCCCCGGCCGACAAGAACTCCGTTTCAGCCCCGCTTACTCCCATGGAGAAAGAACTTGTCTTCGATATTGACATGACCGATTACGAGGACGTCATGGGCGCTCTTGCCGGCGGTTCGGCTGTCGAGGTATGCGACCGCAACTGGCCCTACATGGCCACAGCTGTCAAAGTCATCGACGCTGCTTTAAGGGAGGACTTTGGGTTTCGTCACATTCTCTGGGTTTATTCGGGTCGTCGTGGAATTCATTGTTGGGTCGCCGACGCACGTGCCAGAAGAATGACAAACGAGCAACGCAGTGCTGTTGCCGACTTTCTCTACCTACGCTTCGAAGGCCGCGAGAACGCCGGGCGTCGACAAAACGAGGTAACAGTGCCTTTGCATCCGAGCCTTGCGCGTGCTAAGCGAGTGGCATGTGAGAAAACGTTTCGCCAGTTTGTGCTTAATGATCAGGGCATGTTGGACGGGGATGAGCGTTTGCGCAGAATGCTAGCCGTGGTCCCCAATGCTGCAGTTGCGGACGGTATTTACCAGCGACTTGCAAGTAGTGCAGGACTCTCTGGACCGGATAAATGGGATCGAATTGAGAAAGAACTGTTGCGAGCTGGGAAATCCGACTACGGCGTCAGGGCGACGGTGGACTACATCATGTTCAAGCACACATATCCACGGCTAGATGTCAACGTGAGCAAGGAGATCAACCATTTGTTGAAGGCGCCGTTCTGCGTGCATCCGAAGACTGGACGGGTCTGCGTTCCGTTCCGGGCGACCGAGGTGGACGGTTTCTTGCCCGGAGAAATGGCGCCGGAGGTGGGAAGTTTACTCGCCGAGATGAAGGAAGTAGACGGGGAGGTCCGGGGTTCGGGGCCAGCGTCGGATTTGATGTTAGAGGGCGTCAAAGTGTTTGAAGAGTTTGTCAACGCCGTCGAGGACGAGGCCCGATCAGCGCAACGAAAGAAGAAATTGGAGGCACTTGATCAGCGACAGGCGGCTGAATTATTGGTTAGTTGACGTGTCCAGTAGAGAAATCTGCAGATTTGGAGCACGCTGGGTGACGTTGTGTAAGTCGCTTTCGTTTAATTATAACTGGGCATTTAGTAATTAGTAAACACCACGTGTATCTTGCTGTAACGCCTGTTTCTTTCCAAAACAAACAAACTCATACCGTACAGTATTCAGCAAAGAGTGCGAAAATGAGCTGTACGATTTGGTCTTTCGTCGAATTCCTGAAGGACGGATTTGATAACCAAAATTGTTGAAGTCGAACAATTGTGGCTCGGCATTCAAACATACTGTAGGTTTTCGCGAAAGTCTGGCTTTTCTTCGAGAGATTACTGTTTTTATAACAAGTGCAACTGTACTCACCAAGCAGCGATGCACTGATCGCAAAGGGATTGTCCACTACAGTAGTCTTTAACCTTTAGTCTTTAACCCCGCCACAAAACCGAAAAAGAATCATTCTGATAATCCAGGACGAAAACGAGCAGAATTTGATTTTGTCTGAGAGTTTTATGTTTTTGTCCAAGAATTGACCAACCCGCCGCCCCCCCCCCCCACTCTTATCCTGGGTACACATGTACAGCACAGCGTTTTTGTTAGCTCGATAGCGTTGGTTCCACCTGGCGGTCCGTAAATCGCATCGCCACAGATGTAACTGGAACAGCGAATGGATGTTTGTGAAGTGGAGGGCTGTAATGAATGTAGAACTTTTTGTGTTCACATTCTCAAGTTTTTTAAATTAAAATTCCATGTTTGCAACCCTGTCCCGAAGACGTGGCTTGAATACGGAATTGCCCCAATTGGAATGCCTCGAATCTATCTTTGTTGTTGAACCCGATCCGCGACCGCTTTTGAGCCGTGGATAAGCAATTTATTGGTGGATAATATTATTGTATTGACATTGATCTACAGTAGTATCTCGCGGATTGTGGCGTCAAAATATCGAAACCTGACCTGGAGAGCATTGATTTTCCTCTCGAAAACTTTGTTGTCTTTCACAAGCGGGCTTCGAGAACCCTATCGCCACTCAACAAGGCCGCAGTCTATGTACATGTGCCCCACACCAGTATCAATAACCCGCACCGGGAACTTGACAATATCAGGCTCCCCCTCCCGCCTCTCACATCGGATTCCTCGTTGTCCACTTGACATCTCACGTGCACTTCATCACCAGCTGCGATGGAAATACCTGTCCAAGAGGAGCCCCACGCAACCCGTTTGCGCGCATTCTTCTGCAGCGCTGTTTTCTTTATCGGTTTCGTCTACCTATCCGCCGAACTCATGGATGCCCTCAGAACACAACCCCTTTCCGACGGCTTCGCAGCTGTCGGCGTCTCACCATGGGGTCTCACCGCCCTGGTCGACTACATCGTCGGGGCCGTCTTCGCCGCCACATTCATCTGGCTGCGGGAAACCCCCCCTTTTCTTTGTCTGAACCACAAAGTAATTGCGGTCATCTTTCCGTTTCTGGGAAATGCTGCATTGTTTCTCTACATGAGTTACGTCGTGTACATTCATAAAAACCTCGTAAAGACCTTTGTGCCAAGGAGTGTGGAACAGAATACCGGAGACGTGTTTCACACTCCCGCTAGAAGACGGCAGACGGGAGCCATCGGTATTCTGTTTTTTATACTGCTGATAGCCTTTGTTGCCATTTGTGTCAGGGCACTTGCTGTGCAGTCCTTAGCCGATGGCATCAAGGATTTCAGTAATAAATGGGTTGGGCTGACATTCAAGGACAACTTGGGCGGAATCGTGTTTACGCTTGCATACGTCACTGTGCGTGAGGGTGGCGAGTTGTCATCTGTGATCCCATGGTTTCTGGCCTTCACTTTTCTTGGAAATGCTGCCACATGCGCCTACGTTCTCAACATTGTGATTGAGTCATGGCGACAGGACATACATTTTCCGTTTCTGTTACTTTCAAAGAGGAAAGCATAATAACAGACTGCTTCCAGTTACACCGCCGAAATGACTTGTACCAAATGAGAAACGTACACACTCCGAGCTCGACTCCTACTTTACAATACTGTACATTCAGCAGTCTATAGAACATTGAAAAGATTTCATATTAAAGCATTGTTAAAACGGATGCAAGACCTCACGAAAGTCCTCAATACTTCCATTGATTCCTCGTCGACGGTTGTGCAAATTGGCCTGATTCCCTAACGTATGGATCATCAGATCATCCTGCGATTGACCAATCTTTGAGCGCATGACGCCCCCGGGACGACTCTGCTCTCCTTGCTGGCCGGTTGACCCCGCAGACACAAACTCGCGATTCAAATCCTCTCTCGATTGTGCACCGGACAGTTATCGCCCCCTGGGCGGTGAAGGCGGGATGGCTCATGCTCATGCCTTTGCCGGCAAGGTTCAGGAGATGATTTTGCGGGAACTGCATTTCCATGCTGAAGTCTCTGTTTGCTTGACTTAAAGCCCTCCCAAGGAAGTCGACACTCATGTCACGAGGAAGTTCACTTGAGACCTGATCCCCAGACGATTTCCTCACTTGGCTGACGAGCTCCATTGATAAGTCCCGTTTCAAAAAATCAATGGACATGTCTCGGTTCCCTCCGTTCAAAGTGTTTTTTCTAAACTCCATTGAACTTTCTCTCGAAGGGCCGCCTTTCATGATGAAGCTAAACGACTGGCTGATTGATGGGGGGATTTTTCCATTTGGCAGTTGGAACGCATCAAACATCTGGCCGTTTGCCGGAAAGCTAAATGAGGCCGGCTGGCCGTTCAAGAAATTATCCACATGGTCTGCGCGTACCTTCTTGGCATCCTTGCCATCTTCTAAATCTTGGTTCTCAGGTTGATTTGGTCGTCGCAGCTGCTGCTGCTGCAATTGTTCTTTACCAGTGGCCAAGGCCACCGAGTCCGTGCCGCTCCCGGAGAAGGACAGGGTGGTGGAGCCGACGTCCATGTCCGTTGAATCTGTGCGCATGATGTTCGAGTTGTCATATGTCGGGGACTGATTTTGTCGGCGCATGGCAGCACTGGCAGCCGCGACTGCACTAACTTCTTCGCCTTCGAGTCTGGTACCGGCCAGCTGATAGGTTGCAGCGTCAACATCAATGGTGTTCTGTTGCGAGTGGGAAGCATGCGCAGCAAACTGATGTAACGGAGGCATTGCCCCGCTCACGCTGAGACCCTTTTTGTCTTGTACAGCGTCACCGTGATGGTGGTCATGCAGTCGTTGAAACTGTTCGTCACGGTGATGATGTGTGGGTTGATGATGTGTGGGTTGGTGATGATGCTGTTCTTGTGGCACGTCGTGCGGGTTTGGTTGAGAAATCAGTTGCGGTGTAGGAATGTGTGTGGGTCTGCTTTGTTGTGTACTCTTCTGCTGTACTTCATACATAGCCTTCATATTGACAACGAGTTGAGCTGGGGTAAGCTGACCCTGGCCATGTGACTGGTGCTCGGCCGTGTCGGGGTGGTGGGATAGGCCGTCTTGCAATTGCTGCAGTACCGCAGCGGTATTCACATCGACGTCATTCCCTTGCGGGTTAATCTGTGAAACAGGGTCGCTTTGGTGAATTTCGTTGTGATCGGGCTGAGAAGGTTGAAGATTATGGTGCTGATGTTGAGGCTGATGGGGACTTTGATTGTGGTCTTGACTTGAAGCTTGACGCTGACGATCATTTTCGCGAGGCTGACCGCGTCGGACTTCCGCTTTTGCTTGTTCTTGGGCGTTGGCAATTGCGAGGTGCGCTTGAGCCTTTGCATTTGCCGAGCGCTCCGATATGACACGTGTGGCAGTGGCAGGGTCGGGGAAGGCGGCCGTGTCGGTTGAAATTCCGTTGGGGAAGAAGCTTTGTGAGGTAGGAGGCTTATGTGGGTTTAAAGTGGGAACCTGGTTGAGGGCCTTGGGATCGTGATTTTGTAGGGCGGCAGGGTTGTACGATGGGGGGTGTTGCTGCTGGTGCAGCGTTTGTTGTATTTGTTGCTGCTGTTGTGGCAGAGACGGCCCATAGTACAGAAGCGGTTCTGTCTGTTGTGGGTGAATGTTTGCGTGATGGTTGAGCGGAGCGGACTGCGAGGTGGACGGTGGAGCGGTATGAATGGGTGCTTGTATGGGAATGAGGGCTGGTACCCTTAATGGAAGACCCCTGGGATCAAGAGGTGGGTGTTGACCGGTGACGAGGACCTGAGCTGGATGCATAAAGACTTGCTGGGGTGGGCGAAGGATGTGTTGTTGGTTCGGGTTATGAGCTCCCTGGGGTAAGATGCGACGATGTGTGGTGTAGCGGGTGGCGCGGTCCTGGCCGTCATAGCGTTCGCAATATGGATGCTTGCGCAAGTAGTCCTCGAGGTTCTTCGAGAGCGGGGCGGCGTTTCCGGCGATCTTGCGGCCTTGCCTGCGGTTCCAGATGGTAACGCGACGTTGGTCGGGGTCGGACGGAGGGCGAGAAGAGCGCGAGGAGGAAGCGGCAAGAGGGGTGTCGTTAGACATGATGGGAGAGGGCCAACAGAGAGGGGTGGGGAAAAGTAGGGAGATGGGGATTGCGGAGCGGGAGGGACAGCGGGGGAGGAAGGGTGAGGACAAGGGGCACGGCAAGACAGACAAGATGTGGAAAAAATGCGAGTGCTGGGGCGTGGCAGTGTTGGGCATGTGGGGGTGGGGAGGGGGGGAGAAAACAAGAGGGGGGGGGGGGGGCCCATTTAAAGTTTTTTTTTCCAGGCCAGGCCATTAGGGGACCGGGGAATTTGCCCCCATCGNGGGGATTTTGCCCCAATCGGGCAGCCAATCGGGGTGGTCGTGGGGCTGAACGGAGGGCGAAATGTAGAAACGCTCAAACGAAAATATGCCCTCTGCTGGCGTGCTGCGTGTTAGTTCCAGTGCCGATCGCAAGACTAAGTACAGTTCCAGTAGAGCGCGATGCCTCCCCCTTGCGGAACTCCTGCAACGACCCGGGCTTCCCAGGACAACAGACAACAATACATGCTCTTACAGATGCATTCCGCAAAATAGACCAGAAACATAGCTGTAATTATGAGGGGAGCTCACCTTTAACCGCAGCCAACGTTCAGTCTCGCACGATTACACGATACCCTTGTTCATATATTCGGGGGCTCTTACAGTATCGGTCGAAGACTCCACTCAGTTGCGGGCATACTGTGGCAGGCGAATTTTTTTATGCAGACCCATAGACCTCATTCTTCCCCTCTTTCTCCTCCAACAAAATGCGGCGGTAGCGGCACCACATCGCACAGTTGACCCTTTCGAGAAGAGCAGAAACAAATTATTGTCTTCACTGCACTGTACAGTACACTGATGCTGAGAGAAGACGACTCCTTACCGGAAGACCATTACCTCGCTGGCGTCAAGGGCCCTGCACTGATGCAGAAAGCCGCAAAAGGCATACGCCCTGCTTTCCCACAATCCACCTATGTAGAACTGTTGACAGTTCTACATAGGTGGATTGTGGTTGACATCAAGCAAGCAGCATGGCTAATTGACCTCTGTTGGACAGTAAGCATCAGCGAAAGACCCACGAAACAGCCAAGCCGTGCAACACGTTTGTGAGTGTACACTGTACACTGTACACTGCCCGCGGTTTGAAACTCCGTCACTCGCTATTGCTTCGAACGGCCAATACGATTGCGCCACGCCGACTAAATCGGCACCTTCGCCCTCCGCTGCTTACTCTCGAATCTCGTTCTTCTCTCATTCCATTGCATCTTTGTGGTGCCTCAAACTGCCTGCGCCTCCTCTTCTGCCCGCAACCCTCCCTTCATCTTCATTCCGCACACACGGCATTCTCGGCGGTCTACCAACGCCTGTGTAGAGTCGTCGCCAGCAAAGCAGACTCCTTCGCCACATCCACAAGCGCTAGCCGACGCTGCAGACACGCACCGACTATTGACTGTCTATTTGAGTCGGTGCGTGTTACCGTTAGTAATTGCTTTGTCTCAGTTTTCGCGTTGACATCCATTCATGTATCAACGCAACCATATTCGCAGGGAATACATACTACCTCTCTGCTGTGCTTTTGCGACATGCGTCTCCGCCATGTTTGCCCTTTTGTTCACCACTCTCTAAGATACAACAACGTACACATCCGCACCTAGCCGACGTCGACGGTTCAGCTGCTTCCTTCCTCTCCGCGTATCCAATCTTGCGTCTACGAACTATTGTAGGCATGGGGATGGGGACGTTTGTTCCTGTTTCCGTTATTGCACGATACAGAAATTAGACCATCAATGAATCGTTGCTCTATCCGTACACATTTAATCTGGCTCCGAATCAGAGATACCATCTTGCTCTCTTCCAGCGCGGCACATACGGTTGTACTGTAGCCTACGTCGGCTGTGAACACTGCGGTCGAGGCTGAGTCTGGGCAGCGAGCCTCTCAATACTACACTGTAAACGCTGTGCCAGTTGGGCATAAAATAGCAGGGGAGACGAGTTCCGAGCAGGCACAGGAGTTCACTGCAAGGAGGACCAGATTAAGGGAGACAAGAAATCCACTCGACAGCGTGGAGCTAATGCCGCGTGGGACGTGGAGCCATCTCTTGACGCAATTGGACACCCCAGCAGGCAATGCGCTGTACACCACAACACTGTGTGCTGTACACAAGAAGCAAGGCGAACAACAAAGAATATAAAATGGTGGTGGCGGCTTCCGGATTCTCGAAAAATATCTAACATTTCGCGGCCTGGAATCTTAGGCCACGTGTATCAATCTCCACGTGTACTTAGTGTTGGACATGGTGTACACCTGTACACGTGCACAACGGCCATGGCTGTGGCGGTGGCGCTTTTCGTTGCTTGCCCATGCCTGTGACCGAACCAGTGAGACCCCTCGTACTGTACCGAAGAAACGTGGCCCGATCAAAATAACTTATTTTCTATGAACCCATTAAACAAAAACAACAGCAGATCTTTCTCCCTCTAGAGCTCATCTCGGACGGCCCGGCTGCGATGCACCATCCGCCCGGAGTGCTCCTGCTCGCTTACGCACAGCCCGTTTAAACCCTCTGTGAGACATACATACCCACACCGAGGTGCCCGCACACGCTCGGCTTTTTGGAACCTCGTCGCCATCCTCTTTTCGCTTCGCACACCATCCCATATCTTCAGCGCTCATCCTCTTGCCTCACTACGGATTTCCACTATGGTCCTCGCCTTCTCGCACCCCGTATGGACCCCGGCCCGTAGCGACCGCGGCTGGACCCGCGGCATGCCGCCTCCACACTGTTCCCCTATCCGCACGGCCAGCCACGTGCGCGCCACGCTCAGCGAGCAAGCCCCACCCACTCCCCCAGTCTCTGCCCCGCCGGCCCCGCCCTCGACGGAGGACGAAACCGTGAATGCATACGTCGCCCGTCCACCGCAGACTAGTCCCACCTCAATCGACAAGCTCGTCGCAGAGCTTGGTCATGATCCCCGCTCGGGAACATCCCCTCTCAACTCTCTTCTTGCAAACCCTAGCGATCAGACTGTCTCTGTTCATGCTGGCGAGAGGGTCCGGACTCCGCTCAACCTCAAGGCCATGCTCGATGCCATTCATACCCCCATTGTGCAGAGCGCCACATTCACTTTTAGGTCCACAGAAGATTGTATCGAGTACAATCGCGGCACGTACCAGTCGTACGAGTATGCTCGCTATGGCAATCCCACTACTCGCGCAGTCGAGGAAAAGGTCATGGCCTTGGATCACGCCGAGGACTGCGTCCTCTCCGCATCGGGCATGTGCGCTGTCACTACCATGCTTATGGCCCTCATTCCGGAAAACGGTCATATCGTCGTCACCACCGATTGCTACCGTCGCACCAGGCAGTTTATCACCACTGTCCTGCCCAAGATGGGCATCGACTGCACAGTTTTGGACCCTGCCGATATGGATGGTCTTCGCAGAGTCCTCGAGACTCGCGGGGCTGACATGTATTTTTCTGAGTCCCCGACTAATCCGCTAATCCGCGTCGTTGATGTCGCAGAAATTTCTCGCATCTGCCGTCCGCACGGCACCGTTTCTGTCATCGACACTACGTTTGCGACGCCGGTTAACTTTCGTCCGATTGACTTTGGTGCTGATTTAGTTCTTCATTCTGCAACTAAATATCTCTCAGGTCACCAGGATGTGATGTGCGGCGCCCTAGCAGGACGCGCCGACCTCATCAAGAAAGTCAAGGGTATGCTAGGCGTCATGGGCGGTGTCGTTGATCCCCACGTGTCGTTCCTCATCAGCAGAGGCATGAAGACACTTGGAGTGCGCATGGAAGCGCACAACAGGAACGCGGCGGCCGTGGCTGAGTTTCTCAGTAGGCACCCGAAAGTTGCCAAAGTGCACTACCCGACGCTGGAGAGTCACGTGGACTACGAAGTGGGGAGCAGGCTCTTCCAAAAAGGGTTTGGGGGTGTCCTGAGTTTTGAGCTTCGCGGAAATGGGGACGAGTGGTCGAGGGAGACTTTCGAAGCTACCGGGAGGTTTGTTGACGGGTTGAAGATTCCATACATTGGACCGTCGCTTGGCGGGTGTGAATCTTTGGTGGAGCAGGTATGTATTATGGGGTACTTTGATCAGCCGCTGAAGGAGAGGAAGAGGCTCGGTATCAACAATGGGCTAGTGAGGTACTCTTGTGGGATTGAGGACACCCATGACCTGGTGGATGACATTGAGCAGGCGCTGAGGTTTGTGTGATGCTGAGAGAAGCATTGGTAGAGACGCTGTCGGGATAACATTCCAAGTCTGGAAAGGAACATTGTATTCTGCTGTAAAGATAGCAATGCTGGTTTCGAAGGAATTGCGGAGGTGCACCTGGTGCACATTCTCGCTGATGGATGGATTCGGCGTTTTTGCCACTCGGCTTCGCTTTGGCTGTTTGAGAAGGCGAGGGGTTTTAGTGTACTGTAGTACGATGGTTCTTCTCTGGAATTTAAAGAAATGCAGAGAAGCATCGCTCCGAATGCCCACAAGTGCATTGCGTATAATCCTTTGCGGCCTTCGTGTTTGTGTGTGATGTCTACACAAACGGGTCATGTGGAGGACGTATGGCTGGAAAATACGGACTGCGCGTCCATTTGTGTTTTGCGACATGTTACCGCGTACTGTACCCGATAATTTAAGCGTCGTGCTTGCATGCTCACCTATGAAAAGCGAGTAGGGCAACACGAGCGGTAACGCTTTCACACTTCCCGAGTCCTGTACCGACAAAAAAAAGCAGTTTGCATGATTGTTATGATGGCGCACCGGGTGGGAATACTTGCCCCGGCCCTTCTACGCCAACTGTTGAGTCAACATTGAAATCTGCAAGTCTAGTTTCCCAATTTGATCCGCCTTCCACTGGCGCAACTGCTTACCCTCGTGGTCATGGAAAACGGTATATCGCTTCACCTCCACATCCAGTACATACGTGTTGTCCACCCATTCTACACAGAGACACATATTAAAGATCCCGAAACTGTAAATCACTCTGCCATTCACACTGCATACCCTTCTGCATACCCTTTCGAAATTAATGTGACAAGCCAGGCTGTACCCGCTCAAAGTACATCCGACCTACTAACAGACCCTGACACAAATCAGGGTAGTATTGCTCTTCCGGGCATGTAGATGGGCATTCTGGCGGAGAAGACCAAATCCGTAGCTGTCCTTCTTTTCTACAAAATGAAACGTCTTGTCATGCCCCGCCTCTGCGAGCACCAGCCGAAAACCGACAATTTCAAAAGGAAGGGATAACGTTTCCCTCAATTTCGGTTTCAAAACATCTCTCAAGATGCGCGAGACTGCCCTCGTCACTCCCGTTTTTGCGCTTTATGGTCTCGCTACAGGGTCCATGTTGTACACATGACCCTTTCCGATCTAATATTTCGTATTTCACAGAAAGCGTAGGTGTATCTGTCGCCTTAATCTTTTTCGGGTAAAGGCGAGCATTAGCTTGATGTTGCCCGCGGTGCACGAAGCGAAGGTGTGGGGTAAGACAATAGATTTTAAGGAGAGAAAGAACTGGATGGTGGTATTGTAGCTGTGGACAGCAGCCGCTGCAGATCGAGTCGGCGTCTGCGACGTAGACGATATCTAAATCCGCGACTGAACTGCGACTGCGAGCACAACCACATCTCTGATTTCTACAGCGCACTGAAATATCGCCAGAGGATTTTTTTTTTTACCGAATGGTATCCGAACATAGCGTCACGAACCACATCTGCTATCGCAACCGCAATGGCTAGCACACCCATGTCTCTGTCGCCGACCATATCTGCTACTGCGACTGTAACTGCATCTCCGTTGCTGTCGATGAACGCCACCGTGACGCCCTCGCCCTCGATTCCAGTGAGCACATTCGAAGCGCATTCACGTTTTAGTCTTCTCTGTGCATGCACTTCTGATGCTTGTCGCGACCGAGGGTGTGTCTTCCATCCCGAGGATGGGCAAACCGCTGTAATGGATAGCTTCGATTTTTAGATTTTCTGTTGAATGCCGAATCGTGTGCCAGTACTGTAATTTACATTTTCACTGTAAAGTCCTCCTTTCGCAGTCCAGAAAGGAGACCCTTAGAGCATCACCACCGGTAGAAGCAAATAAGCAAATAACCAAAATTTGATGATTTGATGTCGATTGTCATCCCCACCGGTCCGACCAAATCAGCAAATTTTTGGTTCCGAGGCAAATATCGGAACCAAATATCAAGAATTAGGTTCCGCTTCTCCGTAATTTGGTACCCTAGACAATCCAGTTGTCCAAGGCTCACTGGTCAGACAAAAAGACTTCCCTCCAAAAAACATGACGAAGGGGTTTTGTGGCAAAACAAGCGGCAGTCTCCCGCCATCTCTCCTCTTCAAATGCCATAAGACCAGCACGGATTTTATTGTTTTCCGGTAGGGATGCTCCGCACCGGTCGGTGAAGGCATCTCTGAGAGCATCCCCCCTGTTGGTCATCAAGCGCAAGCTCGGTGATGACAAAATGAGTTCCCCCTTTTCAGGCTCGCTACCCCCCTCTTCCCTGGATCCTCCCATCTATGGGACCCCAACACGTTCAGCTTCGGTTCCGTTAACGTCTTCAGAGTCCGTCACTGCGACTCCCTCCTCGTAGGAGGGGACACATAGGGGTTGTCCACTGGCTACGAGTGCAGACACGCGCCGAGTGCAGATATGTGCCCCGAGGCTTGCCGAGGGCACCATATCGCAGCACGAGGCTGCGTGTCTGCACGCTGTAGCCAGTGGACAATATGCTTGTCTACCGGCTGACAGTGAAATGCTCGGCCACGTAGATGTATGACACAAGTCCACCAATGATAAATCGCTGTTTTCCGCCGTCGTCGCTGTCGATGGGCTCCGCCGCCGTCGTCGCCGATGATATTTCCGCGACTGCTGCCGTCTACTCAGACCATCCCGAAACCCGCCTCAGACATTCCCCAACACTCCTTTCCATCCCCTCCTTCCCCTCCCCTTTCTCTCCTAGCCCTCACTCAATACCCCTACCCCTCCCAATTCTCTCTTCAACTCCCGCACCATCATCAGGCCCCACAACATGCCCTCATCCACTTCGTCTGTCCCAGGGACGCCGCCTCCAGGTTCTGGTGGATCACATGCGACCGTTCCTGACACGCCCCTATCAGCTTCCCGCCGGCACTCGAAGGCAGCAACTGCATTTCTAGGCAAACGTATGCTGGCCAACACAAAACGTGCCAACATATCCTCTCTCAAGGCGGTGGCCCGCTTCACAACATCACGTCCCGGATTTTTGGATGCTGCGTTTAAAAAGGAAGAGCATCTGCGCGACCACATTCTCATGGGCAAGTCTCGTTCAGAATGGGAAATTCTATAGACACGGAAGGCCGTATTTCCTGACTGCAACTACAGCCACATACCAGCGAACCACACTGCTTGGACGACCCAGCAGCTAAAAACCGTACGGTTCCATCTCATTGAATTCGCTGTAAACTACCGGTCGTAGTCCGGTGAGGAAGTCAAGCCAATTACTATGAGAGGCTACATTTTAGGGCTTCAAAGAGCATTGAAATATGAGTGGGGTTATGATCTTAAGCTTCTGGAAGGGGATGTTTTCAATTGTCCAGCAGAAGGGCTCATGGCTGTGCTAGACAACAAGTTTAGCTTGCAGCAGTCGACGGGAGTTGTGGCTGAGAGCCACAACGTACTGTCGAAAGAAGACGTCATCAAGCTTTATGAGTCCCCACTGCTGGACCGCGATACGCCCCTGGGATTTCAAGTACGTCTAGTATTTAGTGTCGCATTGATCACAACAATGCGCCCTTCTGCATTGGTGAATTTAACAGTTGGAAAAGTGCAGAAAATAACTTGTGGCGGGGAGCAGGTGTGGAAAATATGTGGAGTTATCGGCATCCGCGTGGGTGCTTCGAAAACGGCGACGGGAGGGTGGAAGGCTGTCCAGGACAAGCCTCAGGAGGTGTGCGTTTGGAACAAGACGTGTCTCGGCGGCAAGCTCAATTTATTTGAGGATCTCGAAGACTACATGCGGATTAGGAACTCGCTTGATTGTGGAAGCGACCGATTCTTTTTGACAGCTAATGCTCGCGCAACGACGTTTGAAAACTTTTTAAAGCGCCAGCACCTAGGCCGGAATGCATTTGCACGTATTGTGGGGAGCATCTGTAGAAAGGAGGGAATTACAGGGACTGGAGTCAAGCAAGGTATGACGTTGCATGGATTGAGAGGCTCTGTGGTGACGTTGCTGTTCGAGGACGGCCAGAACGATGTGAATGTTGCAATGAGAACAGGACATCGTGATCTGTCGTCATTGAAAAACTACTACAACCTACGAGGTGCTCTCGGAATGCAGCAACAAGCCGCAATTTTTGGAGACTCAAATGCGAAACGTCAGAAGGTGGAGGTCGGGTGTGAAGAGCAGGCGGCGCAGGACGGACAAGAAAACTTAGCAGCAGGCGACGAGGTGGAGGAATGTTTTCAGGAAGGTGGCGCAGAAAAAGAAGACAGTAATATGCACCTTTTATCTGGCGTCCAGAATATCAGCGGGGGCGGTTTCACTATTAATGTGAACAATCACTACTGCTAAGACTACTTTTGGTATGTCGCATCGTCAGTAGTGTTCTCTATAGTACGCTCGAGCAAACTTTGTCGTCCTGATTTGTCTGCACAGTAGTGCAGACAAATAATGATTTGTCTGCGCAGTAGTGCAGACAAATAAGGGCCTTGCCCTACTGTGTTCGATTTTGTTAAGCTTGTTGCCCGAATTGTCGCCGCGGTAGTGCAGACAAATCAGGGCCTTACGTTTGTCCCGTATGTCACGGTGCGTATGTCCCCCTCAACCGGTAGACAAGGGTCAGTACGAGGGTCAGTAAGAGCGTACTACACAGTATTTTGTCGCTGCACACGAGGGTCTGGGCTGACAGCGCGATCTCAGTCCAAGCTGAGACGAGGGAAGACGTTGTCAGGTAGCGGAAGCGGTGGTGAGTGTAGAGACGCGTGGGGGATCGAGGCTCTACGCTTCGGCGCAGGTAAAAGTAAAGTGACGATGGTCAGTCTTTACTTAGTTCCCTCTTGCCCTCGCTAGATCGAGAGAGGTGGTAGTCGCAGGTATATAATCGGACGGCGGCGCTCGTGGCTGAAAGCCACGAGCCAAAAGGCGAAAATAGAGTGGTGTCCGGTACTGTACAGGTACTGTATAGATGCTGTACAGAGTGGCCGGCTCCACTCCATCGACACTCCCCCCTTTCGCTGCATCTCGTCCGATAAATGCGACTCCTGAGCGCTTTGAGTCTCAAAAGGAGTCAAGATGAGTACCCATGTTCACTTCTGCAATGACGGAACCGGTTTCAAGTGCACTGCAAATTTCAGATGAGAAAAAAATTACCTGAACGGTCGTTAAAATATCAGTATAAATGCAGACCAGAATTCGATGCGCAAATATTTTCTCATCAACCTGCCTTGTTCTTTCCATTCGACAGCCTGATGACCCAACTTGGATTCTCATGCTTAAGCTCCAGTTAGC